GGGATCACAAAATTGACAGTAGAAGATCATGACGTTGATTATCTGGAAGGTGAATGACGCTGTTGTATTAATATTGGCAAGAGATTCATGAATACAAAAGTAATATTACTTTTCGTTTCCCTGAGTAATTCTTTGTTCGGCTTATCATGGCATTGCTGATGGTGTCAGCGTCAGCATTGGACGTATTCATACTAATTTCGGTACCTCTAGGTGTGGAACCAGAGGAATTTGTATGGATAATTTAATTAAGCATTCAACGTCACATTAGCTTATTTTAGACAGCTGGATGAGCTCTTATCCTGTTTTCTCAAAGCAGTTGATCTTTCATGCAGCCTCTGGACTGAAATGAGCGGATGTAGAATTGAACCAGTAGCACGAATTCCTCCGGTTACGTAACTTGAACTTTTTAAAAGATTTTCTCACCGCGGCTTTGCTTCCAAATATCGCTGACCGCATTTGATATATAAAATTTGTAGCGGCGTTTGGCCTTCGTCTTAATGAATTTTTAAATATTTAGATCCAGTACAACACCACTTTCGAATATGGGTCACATTTTCTTAAATGATTATCGCTTATTTCTGTATCCTGTTTTTTCAGGTGACGGACTTTGATTGGTACCGTTGCTTAACCACTTTTTGTTTTAACACCTTAGTAATTCATAACTTTTAGTGTTCCACACTGCTTGAATTCAGTGTTTGTGCGTGTTAATTAAGGTGATTGTTTAGACGCGTTGTCAAGTATTATCCAGATCATGCGCTTCGCGACAGCGTCAACGAAATCTCTGCATTGTTCGAAGAGACTATCGGGCAAATGGACTATGACACGGCGTTACAACCGAGCACGTAACATTGCGTCACTGTCTGCGCTTCTTAGATTCTACAAGTGCGCACTGTTTTTGTCGATAATGTTTGTGTTTGTTTACTGCAAATAGTGAAAGGAAGATCTGAGATTCGCGCTTGATTACATTAAGGCTATTGCAGCGGCAAACAATGGCTTTTTTGAGATGTTAGATTGTCTCAGGTTTTTCGTTAGAACGATGATAATGGTAAAACTTGAGTAGACATGGTGGGGGAGGATATTGAACCAGAACTGTTTAAAACTTGGGAATATTTTAAAGTCGGTCAGTAACCAACAGCCACGTTGTTGGGTAGACGCAGTAGATGGTTAACATTGTGTATTCATCATCCAGAGCGAACAAAGACCAGATTATAAGGAAGAGTTTAACTTAAAGATTATTTGAGACGAGTTGTCTTGGTATCAGGCAGTTTGTCGTTTAAGTGAACTTGATGATCACATTGATCAAGCATGAATGACGCTTGTCGGTCAGATTAGATTTTTTTACCTTTAACAGTTCTTGACTAGCTGCAGTGGTAAAAGGAAATCGGTGTCCATAAATTCCTTTGCCAATCGTTTCATTATACCTTTGTCTGAGACGATTTTTCATCATGACTTCTCGTCAGGAACCAATAACTGTCATAATATGAAGAAACTTTCACATATTTTTGGTGCTTATTTCGTTTTTCTTGATTGCCTCCACAATCACAGATATAACTGAAGATGACACTGCTTAAGCGACAGTCAGAGCAATCGATCTAACACGTACACTTTCCTTGTACTGAACGGTTTCAGATAGAGGGCAAAAACGTTAGCAGTGAATAATTCGCCCGAAAGACAGTATCAGCCTCCTGGAGTTTCATCTTTACGTTTTCATCTTTACGTTTACATCTTCATCTCTGATAAAGAATAGCGGTCGAAGAATAGAGTGACTTGCGGTGTAACTTCTTTCTGGACCTATAGGTTGTTTCTTCTCATTCCGCTTTTCCGTGGCAATCGATCCTTAATCGCAACATTTATGCGGCTGTTTACTTCTTACTTTTAACTCCGCTGCTTGTTTTATTTACTGGAAACTGTTTTGTTTACTGTTTGTTGTTTTCAGCAAATCACGATCGCTACCTGAAGGTTTTCGGTGCATTCTCAGTTGCTGAAACATTGGCTATTACACTCATTACAAAAAGACCATGCTGCAGAAGTTACAAGATTATATCGGCATGGATCAGCAGTCCTGTTTTATTGTGTAGTTTATGTTCACGTTCAACTAGATTGTATTTAAAATATCAGGCAAAGTTTCTCTCAAAAGTTACAACGGGACAAACATTAGCGTTGTGGTATTTATGAAGATGCTTTATTTATAAAGAATTCCAAAATTGAGTAAAATTTTGGCTTTCACTGCTGTTTAACTATGGGATACTCAAAGTGATGTTACAAACAAAATTTGTTTTAGCTCACGAACCGTACAAAGGTTAGATGTCATTGCGGTTGACGCTGCATAGGGGTTATTGATCGAATCACTGTCAAGAAATATCAATTCCTCTAAAATAGATACCTTGCAGCCACGATTTGTCATGGATAAAGGATAAACTGTTGAATCTCGAAGGACGATAGCACGAATACAAAATTTTTAAATCCGTCACCTATTTGCTAGGGTGCTGTGTCAGTTGTTGCTGATAATCTGACTCAGCGAATAAACTTTATTATACAACAAATTTTTCACGTCTACCGTCTAAATGACTTGAAGGGTGCTTAATTTATTTCATCATCCTACTATTAGAAGATTGGAGTCATGAGACAAAGATGCCATGCTGTCTTTGGAAATCGACAAAGCATTCGTATTTCGAGCAGTCTGTCACTGATAATTGCGTAAAATCCACCTGTGCTAACCAGATCTGAGCTATGCTTTATGCCCGACGGAAATGGTGTAAGTTTGAAGCCCAAATGTTTGATGGTAAAGTTTACTCGCGAATACTCAGTCAAGTTTCATAAGAAAAGACTGAACGCTAAAAGACCTTTTGAACCCAAACACTAGCCATAAACAAATTGTAAGATGTACGTAAACGACGAAGGCAGGCAGAGCAAGAGAGGCTGAGGATAATCGCCGTCGTCAAGCTCTTGAATCGGTTCTGCCACGTCGTCTTGTTCGTCGTTATTACATTCTTTGGTGGGACATGAGTTCGTGCTTGATTACCTTCTCATCCAAGTCAGATATGTCGGCCGCCTGTACCTGCATCAGACTGTCCAGGCCCAGGCATGCTTTAAGGCCGCGTACAGAACTGGCGTACAACATTCTTTTTCGCACGGGTGCGTCGTCGGGACACCTACAAATAAAAAACTGAATACAGTGCAAACGATAAAAGCGATGCATGAACGACTCTGAACTGAACACCGCAAGCATCACACTTACAGCTGGACAAACACCACTTTCTGTATATAAGAGTTAGCCTCCGTTC